TTTTGCTGTTTGAAATTGTGTCAGTAAGAATAAAGTATCCTTCTTGCCTGGAAGACTGAAGTCTCTTTAACACAGAAAAGCATCCTCAATTTGCATTGAGGTGTTATAAATGAGTTTCTGGAGTCAACAATCTGTGTCTGTATTCTACAGCCATCTTTAACTTCATCGTTTCCAAGGAAACAGGCCTGGGTCCACTTTGTAGTTGAGATCAGAAGTGGACAGTTGACTTGCAGTCCTGGAGATGTTTAAATTTTCATCTATTCTCCATCTTTCTGCAAAACCCTGTAAGTTTCTTTTGAGATGCTCTAATGTGATAATCTTAATGTGATAAGCCAATGAACCTGACTTTGCTGGACAGCAGGTTTGTCTCTGGTGGTCTTAAGGTTAAGGGGACCAGCACAATTGGCTGATCACTCTGTGAATCACTTACGGACTTGCAGACACAGGTACAATTTTGGCAAGGGAGTTAGGTGATCAGATTTACACTCAGGACACTAGGAAAACAACAAAACAAAAAGCCTTGTGGTGTTGGTTTGACTTAGGAACAATATGGCAGAATGTTAGCTGCCTTAGAGTCTGCCCCTGACTCATGCGCTCTTGGAGAATTTTCATTGGTTGAATGTTGGAAGTCAGCTACCAGGTCTTTCTTCCTGGAAGCTCTTCTGAATCTCGTTCAGCAGCAATACGTAATCCTCCGCTGACAGATGGGTGGTGGCAACACCCGTGGTGTGGTGGTCAGAAGTCAAACCTGGGTCTTCCACAAGGAAGGCAAGAATTCTACCATTGAACCTTCACTGCCCCTACTCAAAGAATACAGAATGATGAGAAATGGAAAGGGTCGACAGAACCTACAGGACTGGGTACTTATCAGATGCAGGAGTGAAGGAAGAAGACTGCATCATGGATTGAATTATGTCCCCCAAATATACATGTCAAGTTGGCTGGGCCACAATTCTCAGTAGTTTGACAGTTATGTAATGACGGAATCATCCTCCATGATGGGATTGGATATTTGCCATCAATTGGCACAGCCCTGGTCCCTGTAAAGGAAGTTTCCCTGCGGTGTGGCGTACATCATCTTGTATCTTAAAAGAGATGAAAGGAGAGAGAAACCAGCAGAGATGTTAAAAGGGGCATGTCGAAAACGTAATCATCTATGAGTTATAAATAGAGATTAGCTACATGAGCAAGCACAAACTAGACAAGACAGATGCCACATAGAGCTCTTCA